TCTCTCTCGTCTGTTCCATCACTGGATGGAACACCGTTTGCTTACCGAAAGCTTGACTGGGCATGATCTTACCAATTTCCGGACGTGGGAGTTTCGGCAGCTCGGCCGTAATTATTCGACCGGGAAATTGATCGAGCAATTCCTGAGAAATATAATACAGAAACTAAAGGTAACGTACATTCCAGAAAACACACAATATGTTCCAATTCCCATATATATGTATAAATATTATAAATGCATATGTGTAAAGATTATGAAGAAACAAAGGTAAAAAAGATTCTAAGAATGACAATACCCCGCTGAGATCCATCATTCCATATTCTTCTAAATAACATTGAACTTCATCGACAGCCTTCACAAACGCCACATAATTTATAGTATAAGCATCTTTGGCAAATCTTTTTACGAGAAGGCGAAACTCCTCGGCGCCAAGGACGATGCCCAGAAATTTTAAAATTCGACCAAAATGAGCGAGAGTAACTGTGCCGACATTCTTCGCGATCTACGAAGCATCGATCAGAATGAATCGAAAACTATTAAGCTTTTCTATCATTTATTTTCATTAAACTAATAAAATACTTTTTTACAATTTAATTACTTTTACCTATTTTTAATATTTTAAATCAAAATAATCATTTTCAGAGATAGACAGTGTTTTAAATAATAAAATAGAATCAATGCTTTTTTACACATTTTAAGCAAAACTAAATTATTAAAAATTATTAATGTATTCTCGCGCGCGCGTATTAGCACAATTATTATGCTTATCAAATACAAAAAAACTAAAGAATAAATTACAGCTACAATAATTAATGTCGCAAACCGTAATGGTTTACACTTTCATAGATGAATCATACCAAACGTACCAGCTCGTAATCTTGAAAGTATGGCCAAAGAGCAATTTTTCTTTTGCTCACCAACACGGCGATCTGAGTGATAATCAAATTCAATTTTCGCGTTTCCGTGCTGCTCAGAACATTTATATGCAGCGGGTCCTCCCATTCTAAACCGGTCACAAGGGTCTTGTTCTTTCCGAAATCAGGAACTACAAGAGATATCACAGAAATTATTATTATTGTTATTTTGCAAATTTGTATGTTATGCATATCTCATTTTATCAATCCAATTATTGAGTCATTTTATATAAACTTTATATAAAGACAGATAAATAATCATATAAATGTTTTTCGTAATCACTCGTACCACTGTCGTGAATAACTTCACAAAATTGCGAATAAAGAATTCGACCGTTCTGAATTCGAAAATGGTCCGTCAGATCGCAAATCTCTTTATCCGATAAGCCAATCACACCTTTTAATGGTCCAGCCAAAACGGAGATAAATTTGGACTCTGCAAATTTAATAACTGATTACGTACGTACACACATGTTTTATAATTAATTAATGCACCGTAAAATAAAGTTTATATACATTCGATAATACGAATTAATCAATCATCACTGCAGCACAATTTTTAAATAGATTTTAAATTCTGCTAATATTTGCCTAATTAAATCAATGAATTGTATATGTATCATGAAATTAAGATTCATTCAAATATTATATTTACCTCTGCATCAATTGCTTTCTGCACAAGTTTACTTATAATTTTAATCCAAATTGAAAAAACATACATTTGAGATATAAACGTAAGATACGTATATAAATAAACACACATAGTTTTGCAATTTTTATAAGATAATTATAGCTAAAAAATAAGGTCAATTTCACTCTGTTGTTAAAAAAAAAACGTTCAATAATTTCGAAACATTCTATAATGTGAAGGAATAAGTAAAAAAAATAGTGGAACTAATCCGAATAAAAAATAATCATTTCATTATATCGAGTGTCCAGAAATAAACATTCCCACACAACAACTAACTTTAGAAGTGCTTGAAGCGATCGCTCGTCTTGGTGCCAATGTTCGATATTTATACCTGATATTAAACAACGTTTGTCGGGATCCAGAGGCTTGTAATACTCCCAAAGATCGAGTCCGACGCGAAACACGGCGGCTCGTATCTTATTGCAAGTATGCCAGACATCGTGCAACTTAAGAACCTAAAATCGTTCTTTTTATCAGAATGCTTGGAACTAACATCTTCCGAAACCCTATCTGCGATTTTCTATCTTCAGAAAACGATGGGAAAAATATCCTTTTTTACCTTCTGTTCCTGTGACATATTTATACAATTTCTTCTGCAGATTTTACGAAAATTTTACGCGACGTTGACAATTAAGATGGTTATCAAAGTTCTTTTTAGTATCGAGACAAAAATCGATCGTAATGAAGTAATGTGCATAGGGTAGTCTTAAAGGAAAGATATAAACGTTTTTTTAAACAAATAATTCTTTATTTTATGTCCATCACAGACTACAATAGTAATTTACACGAACAATTTCGAATTATACTTAATTATGTCCGTCTTTACCAATGTAGATGAACTTTAATCTCATCGGTTCCACTTACTCTTCATCTTTTGATTTAATTTTTAGAACTAGAATTATTAAACTTAAACTATATTAGTCGAAATGGACATTAAATATATATAATTTCAATATAAAAATGTGTTAAATTAATGTAGTCATATACAGGATGTCCGGAAAATCGAGGTTAATATTTCGAAAAGTGATTCGGGATCCAAAAAGAAGGAAAAAAAACTATATAAACAACACAAACACAACATAAGTCCGAAAATAAGTCGTTTCCGAATTACAATTTTTATATTAAAAAAAAAATTGTAATTTATTTTTCATAATCACAATCGTAATTTATTTCATAGTGTTTTAACATAAATAACTACATTTCGGACTATTTTGGTGTTAACCAGGATGCACCACGTGGAGGTATAGTCCGCTTGGCATCCCTCTAGTAAAGTAAGAAAAATTTAAAAATAAAGAAATAAAAAAAGAAGGATGCCAAGCGGACTATACCTCCACGTGGTGCGTCCTGGTTAACGCCAAAATAAATAAATATGAAACAAATAAATTACGAAATAAATAAATAAATTACGATTGTAATTATGAAAAATAAATAACAATTTTTTTAATATAAAAATGATTATAACCCGGAAACAACTTATTTTCGGACCTATACAACTTTTTTTCCTGCTTTTTGGGTCTCGAATTACTTCCCGAAGTATTAACCTTGATTTTCCGGACACCCTGTATATAATATGTATGTGATGTGTCAATTAGCCTGTGATTTTGGCTGAACTTTTGCGCCAGTTCATTTTTCTTCCCCTTCTTTCCTTCTGGAGAGAAAAGGAAGAAAGATGAACTGGTGCAAAAGTTCAACCACAAAGAACAGGCCTAATATATACATAAATCGTATATAAGCTATTAGTCGATAAAACAGATCCCCAAATGTTTCATCGTAGGCAATTGTGCTTAACATGCTTTGACCAAAATGAGATAAAAACGTTTCCTGTAATATCGAGTAGAGAAAAACCTGAGACCGGCCTTTTTCGTGTACCAAACCTCACAGGATAATGTCCACGTTTTTGTGGTTCTTTTCCATGCTATTACGTGGGTTAGGCAGACGAACAATCAAAGGCCCGATTCACAGTCGGTTTCAAGACCGTTTTAAGTAATATGTCTTTTAAGTAATGTCTTAAAACGCTAATGCGGCCCTCTGATTGGTTCGTGACATCAAGACAGAACTTAAAACGATCTTGTTTCTTCCTCTTTCCTCCTGGAGAGGAAAGGAAGAAAAATGAATTGGTGCAAACGTTCAGCCAAAAAGAACAGGCCTAATATCGAGTGTCGCGGATTTATAGATGGCATTATCCGCGCCAACTCCAGCGCCATAGCGAGAAAAAGATGCATTTCTTGCGGCCATCTCGGCCATCTACAAACATCACCGATGCAACAAAAAATGCCATGCCGTTGTACGCTGCTCAATTTCCGATCGTTCCTGCGATCTATCTTACAATAAAATCCACTCGTCTCGCGTATCCTAGATATTATTTTATAGTTTTTGAGAAGTAAATGAGCGTGGATAAAATCACAGTAAAATTGAGCGGGATTCTTGGCGATCTTCCATTGGTCGACGGCCGAGAATAGTGTCTCTCGGCGATTTCATTGGCTATCTCTCACTCCCGCCAGTCGCGTCGCGTGCCGAAATTTCTGATGCGTATGGCGCTAAATCCGTCTCTTTCTTCCATCCCTTCCTTTCCGCCCTCCCCCTTTACTTCTCCCGCTGATGACGCATTCGCATTCTCTAACCATCGATCCGAACGCAACCAGGAACGTAAGAACTAGACGTATCTTGGCTCCCATTTTTTACAAATCGAAGAAAAACATTTTATTTATTTAAAATTTTTTCTATAGCACTGTGTTTACAGATCTCGCTAACGCTAAATCACTTCTAAAACAATTCGGTATAAAATATTACAAATTAAATGTTAAAAAACTTAGAAAACAAATTTAATATAAAGATTCTTTTAATTATAGATCTTAAATTTTTAAGAATTTCAATATGCAACAACTTGTATATATTCTTAAATAGGTCAAAATAAATATAAGACAATAATTCGATCTAAAGGCTGAGTAAAATAGTTTTTAATTACCTACGGCTGCAGATCGTATTGCAACAAACGATTAAACAATAAAGTTTAACAGACGAAACAAGAGCTGTGAATTCAAGCCGAATGAAGTTCCGTTAAGACGTTCTCGCTGTTTACATTCATGAATGAAATTCATTGACCGAATGCTTAATGAAAACACTCATATTTTTATTCACGCAAGGAACAATCGAAGAATCTAACAATAAGTCAAATTAAGAAAAAAAAACATTTTATGTTTATTCATAAGGTTAATGTGAGAATATAACGTTCGACCGCGTTTCGTCGCAGAGAGATTGACGATATTTGGCGTGACGAATCGAGGGTGCCGCAGACACGTCGAACGGTCCTGAGAGACGGCACGTGATTGGTCGGCAAAGTCGTACGTCCCAAGATGCCTTGCGCGTAAATTGCCGGCGTGAAGATCTCCGGGCTGCGCAGCGCACGACGCCGTACTTTCTTCTCCATTGGGCAGTCAGACAGAACGGCCGTGTAACGAGCTATCGGCGAGCATTCAAGTAGCTTTGTGCTCATACAGTGCATCGTGGTGTGCCGCGTATCGTAACTTACGCGGGTAATATCGACAGATAAAAAGCAGACGCGATGGCCGATCAGGAGAGCAAGGATTTCAGCGACGACATCGCGGAACAAAACTTCGCGGAGCAGAACGGCGAGGCCGATAACAACGGCGAGAATAACGTCGCAGAGAACAATCAGGAGTCGCAAGAAGACAGGTAACTCCCCTCCCGGTCTCTGTTTGCTCGAAACCCCTCGTGCCGCAAGCTCATTAATTGTCCCGGATTGCGCGATCGCTTCGTACTTCAGGCGCGTTGTAGCCCGGCGATCGCGCGAATCGGCGATAACTTCGCGACACAGCGCGGCGACCGGGCCGCGCGCGCGCGCGCGTCGGCACGCGTCTCAAAATGGCGAAGGCGTGCGGTCCGACGCGGAACGTAATCCGTTCGCATCGACGTTACGACGAACGCCTACGTTTCGACGACACGGCCTCGTCGCTTCTCCGTGGCGCGCCGCGCACGCGAACACCTATCTTTCGCGGCGATTCTCCATTCGCGATTAGGATCCATTGACGAAAGAAGCCGGCGGCAATAATGGCGGGGGGGACGCCGGCAGCGGTTCCGGAAAGGGCGCGCCCGAGGCGTCGTAGCGTCATGAGTGAGAGAGAGAGAGATAGATAGAGATAGATAGAGAGGAAGAAAGAACGGGAATAGAAACGACGAGATGCGTAATAATGAATGTCGAGGAATATTCCATACAGCACGTAATTCGTGCTGCACGAAAAAAAAAAAAAACGGAAATTTGCGCGTTTGCTACTTGGGCGCGCTCCGTTACAAACTTCCGTTACAAACACGTGGAAACCTTTGTCCTTTGTAGGCTCGTAGAACTGAGTTACTTGAAGCATTGGATGAATAAAAGAAATATTAGTAATGTAAAATAAAAATAGAATTAATTCTAGTAAAAGAAATATATTGGAATCAAAGAAATATCATTCAAGAAGAGGGCATGCGCCAAAAAAGTGCCCCGCTTTATTGTCTGCGTTCCGTTACTCACTGTGGGTATTGAAAATCTGTATGTGTATATATATATATATAATATACATACATATATGTATGTATATACGTAACGTGAACTATAGATTTTCAGTACTCGAGGAATAATGAAACGCAGCTATTGCGGTGCACTTCGCGCCAAATGTTGGTGGACCTTAAGTTCTCGTCCGCCATTGTCTCGCGCTGCTCTCTTTTTCCTTTCTTTTACTCCTTTTTTTTCAGCGTAACGGATCTCGAGCTGGATGAATTTGACTGAATTTGACCAGATACATCTTTTCCTCCAGTCTCAATAAAAGAATACAAGACACCTGTGTAAATAAAAAAATTACCTAAAGATATGTTATAATTTTGCAATTATGCGCGCGTCCCGTTTTTTTATTTCTCCCGTCATATTGTTGTATATCAAGGGGATTTTGCATTTATTTTTCTTTGTATCATTTTTTTGTAATTTTTATTTGCTCTTTGTATTCTACAGCTTTGGATTTTTGCAAATTTTTACGCTATTTGGGGTATCTTTTTGCAAAGAAGGGTAAGCATTAGATTTATTTCAATTGCACAAAAATATGTAAAATGTTTCAGGATGTAAAATTCAGGAAGCGGACGTAATCTTCAAATTCTACCTAACGTAAATTGAAATATAATAAAGTATAAACACAATATTATTAATTTTTTGCCCCATTATAGGACAAGATGTATTTTTGCAGTAATGTTGTTGAATATGAATTTGAAGATGCACCTCCTCGTCCTCCTCCTATTCATAGCTAAAAATAAAAATGTTCAAGGGACACGAGTTTCATGTGTATGAATTAACGGAAGTAAAACAGCCAAATGCCGGCGCTCCACTACGTCTTGAAATATAATAATCAAAGATTGGAATGAGATAATGCATGCTATATTACGCAAGAATAATTTAAGACACCACTGTATAACGGCGAATAAAGGCGCTAGTTTGTAACTTTATATGTGCTGTTGTTGCGAGGTATAACATTTATCTGTTTTTGAAATTTTTCGTAATTTTGTGTATTAAACTCCTTGTTTTCTATCCCTATCTAGTTAATGATATAATTGTAGTTCTCTCTAATTGATAAAGAGAAATTGTGGGTTCTGCAGTCGATCAATTTTTGCGAACGCAACATCACAAGCAAATAATAATCCGTAATATTTTTATAGAGCCTAAACTTTCGAGTACATTTTTTGGCCAGCCGAGTCTTCTATCCTCGTACGGTTCATTGCAGCTGAATTATGGTAAACAGTCAATTGATTCACGATTGACAAATACGTACACTTACATGGGATCGACGTGAACCGCAAAACCTTATGCAGTGATTTCCGAGTCCTAATTATTGCGAGAAGTCTACTTCAAGTTCAAGTTCGTCACGTTCCGTCATGACACAAGCACTGGAACTCAAATTAATTTCGTCATATCGATAAAGTCTCGCACAGACACACACTTGCCTGCTGGGTCACGCGTAGAGTAATTTCCGATCCAAATGCTGTTTGGGCGTGACCAAAGCACAAAATCATAGGGACAATGCGAAAACGTCCAGTAGGTCGGAACGCCATTTAACCCCAGTTTATGTGGCTTGATCTACAGGTGATCGACAACGGTTTTCACATGGCGGGCGGCTCACAGGTGGAAAACGTCACCCGACCAGCAACTGATTACCGGCGAGTGACTGGTGCCAACGGTATTTATCACCAGCCATAAATAAAGAGTCAAATATAATAAGTAAATCAATTAATCGTGTTGACACTGCCAAAAACAAAGTCAGAGCAAAAACCGAGCTTGCAGCTCGTTGTTAGAATGCAGAAAATGAATGAAAAATATATATATATATATATCAGAAGTTGAAACCATTCTTGCATTACATCGCAATTTGTCTATGAGCGTTGTAAACAAAGAGAGAGAAAGAATGAGAAAGAGACAAATATAATACATATATAAATAAACACGTACATGTAAAATATAAATAAATATCCCATATTGTATCCATCTATATTATATCCATATAGATATGTCGATCGAAAATATCAAGAGTTGTCTATCATTTAAATCGTAATGAAAACAATCTTTTTAGCTTTTCGATATAGAGTTGCAGTCTATCCTAGCATATACCATATTCTTTGGGCCAATCTGCAGTCAGAGTAACCACTTGGAAAAATTAAATTCTTGTTTCCCTTAGGAGCAGAGCTGTGATATGTCTACTGGAGTTGTCTAACTATTGCTCGGGTTCTCACGCAAACGTCGATGAATAGTACCTTGTTCTCTCGATGCATTGATTTTTACATATATATACTTTTTTCCAAGTTTTCTTTTCGATTTTTTTTTTTACAATTGAACATTCAAATCAAGGTTTCTATGGTGTGAAAAGCAGTTCTTCTCATGGTTGTTTCTCGTAACTTTATACATACAAAGGACAGATGCATATATCGTAAGCTACCTTTATCAATTCTCATTTATTCTAGGAATGGTATTCTGTACTCTTGTAATTGCTTTGCATTGTAATTATTATGTTTATCATTGTAAGAAGACTTTTCTAAATTTCGACAATGGGCGATCTAATTAGCCGTAGATTAAATGCGTTTGTTTGTCGTAGATATATATAATTATATATAGTCTTTACATATGTGCGATGTTTAATTGAATAAAATATTCCTCGTTTATATAAATCTTTTTGATGGTCCAGTGCCCTTTTTGCGAATGACACTACAGGTCTGTTACGTTACTTGCATATCGTCTGCATTCAATTTTTTTCATACCTTAACACTGATTATATAAAGTTTGTTCACGTCGCATGCTACAACATGTTCCAATATGCTCCTACCATAGCTCTTACTCACTCCAACGCGCTTGATAGAGTGAGTAGGAGCTATGGTAGGAGCATGTTTTAGCATGTTGGAGCTTGCGACGCGAACAAATCTAAGGTCTTTCCAGGAGTCAAGTCGACATTTTCTTTCATTTTATTTTTTAATAAATGAAATTTTTAGATTTTTTCGTTTTTCAAAAGTTTTTTAAATTCTCGTTTCGATCTTAATCTTCTGTATTAATTCATACGTTCGAGAAATTCACTTAGTGAAATAAATTCGTTCCGTTGCTTTGTAGGTCGGCCGGGGCTAACCAGGATTCTCTAAACGATAGGTATTTTCTTTATTATATTTTTCTTATTTTTTTTTTTAGCATGTCGGTGTTAAGAGTGAAAGAAAAATTGCACGACGATATGAGACGGTGAGAACTACGCTCAAGTTGTGTATTCGAGTAATAACAGACCATTCCGTAACTTGTAACAGTCATTTGCGAAAGAGGCCCAAATACATTTCCATCTTCCGTTTTCATTGCAGATAACTTTTTTGCGCGCAGTTGCAGAGATTTGAGAATTTGCCAACATCGTAAGCCCGAATAGTAATCCTATTTAGATGATAAACCGTAAATTTCTCGTTACGAACATTCGGTTTCGCAATAATGATTAAAGACTTAAGACGAATACGTCTTTCATTCTCTTTTATTAGTTTTAACACTTTCTGTTTTCCTTTTCTTTCGCAGGAAATTATTCGTCGGTGGTTTAAGCTGGGAAACGACAGACAGTAAGTAACTCTTTTTAAACTTATTTTTTTTTAACTTTTTTTGAACTGATATTCTCTTAAAATTTATTCTCTTCGCAAAATCTTACTCAAATAATGAAAAATAACAAAACAAAAAAGATCAGCGGTGATGATTCATTTCTTAGGACACCTTTGGATGACAAGTGTCATGTGAAAAGAATTTTTTACTGAGCTCTCTTAAATTATAATATTATTGTTTTATATAAATATTTTTAAAACAATTTAAACCTTTAAAGAATTCTTACAAAGAAATTATCTTATGCATTTTTAGAGGAATTGCGAGAACATTTCAGCGCATATGGTGATATTGAAAGCATCAATGTGAAGACAGATCCAAATACAGGACGATCGAGAGGATTTGCCTTCATCGTTTTTGCTAAAGCTGAATCTCTTGATAAGGTATTCAATTTTGTATTTTATCGCACACAACAGAAAAATAATGTAATCTTCATTGTTTACTAATTTTAATAATATTACTGTTTATTTTTTATATACATGATATTTAAATGATGATAGAAACCAGTTCTGCTACTGAATGCATGTGACGACAAATTTTTTTTCTGACGTGTTTTTACAAACAAATTTTTATAACATTTTTTACGAATTATTTGCCAAATAATTGCGAGAAAAAAAATCTTCCAGATTATGTCTGCTGGTGATCACGTTATCAACAACAAAAAGGTTGATCCTAAAAAGGCAAAAGCCAGACACGGGAAAATATTCGTCGGCGGGCTTTCGACAGAACTTTCCGATGATGATATCAAGAATTTCTTTTCACAGTTTGGAACTGTAAGTACTTTATCGTTTCTATATATTTTAGCTTATTATATCCTTAAACAAGCACTCTTATTAATACATAAAAAAACCTAAAAATCTTTCAGATTGTCGAGGTAGAGATGCCATTCGACAAAACAAAAAATCAGAGGAAAGGATTCTGTTTCATCACTTTTGAATCTGAACAAGTGGTGAATGAACTGTTGAAAACTTCGAAACAAACGATAAATGGTAAAGAGGTAAGTAAACGAATGTTCATAAAAAGTCGAATATTTTGAAACTTTAATAAAATATTTAAATACTTATTTATAAAATCTATTTAGTTTAAAATATTTTAGATTATTATGTCTAAAATAAATGTACGATATTCGCGTTTTATTTTTCTCTAAGGCAATAAAAAGATCGATCGACGAAAATGAAACAAAATTAAAATTTTTAATTTAGATCTCATTGCGACTAATTTTAATAATATTACATTAATCTTTTACATACATGTGTGAAATAATATTTATATTGTCAATTTTGTTTATTAAATGCATGTAACGACATGTTTTTTTTTACAAAAAAATTCTTATAACAGTTTTTAACGAATTATTTCGCTAAATAATTACAAAAAATAGCAGTGATTATATTTCAAATATTAAACAGGTTGATGTAAAAAAAGCAACACCCAAGCCCGATGGAATGATCGGTATGCGCGGTGGACCTGGCGGCCGTGGCAGTCGTGGCGCCAGAGGTGGCCGAGGTCGAGGATTTGGTCAAGGTGGATGGGGACAGGGTGGCTATGGCGGCGGTTATAGTGGTGGCTACGGTCAAGGAGGATACGGCGGTGGCTACGATGGATACGGATACGATTATTACGGTGGGGGTGGGTACGGAGGTTACAGCGGCTACGACTACAGTGGATACGGTAATTCCATTAACTATTACTAAAATCGATGATAAAATGGGCATATGATATGCCGATCATTGTCAAGATTTGTTTTGCTTTTTTCTCGTGTGTCTTGTTTTCCTTCGAAAAAGAAGCTATAAATAATAATAATTAACGGCAGATTATTCGTTGTTACCGTCCCAGTGTATTCGGTAGGCGATTATGACAAAAATTATAGACACCTGAGGAAAATATATGCATATTATGACTGATTTAATTCCTTTATCGTGCATTCAAATTAACTTCCCTTCATTTATCTCTTTTTTTTTTTTTAATCCAAACACATCTTTTTGTGTTTACTAACTTTTTACTTAAATTGAGTAAGCTGAAATATAAATTTATATTGTCAGTTTTGTTAAATATGTACTACTCAACAGTAACAGGAAATGGAATGATCAGGAATTTTATGTATGTATTATGCTGGGTATTAAGTTTTAGTATTAGATATAAGTAGGAATGCGAGTGCTGGTTTACGGGCAGATCAATAAGAATTCTAATTTGTTCATATTAACACGTTTTCAAAAACACGTATTTTAACTATTTTAACTTGAATAATCTTAGTTTTATAGACTCCAAAAAATATGACAATAATTATTTCATTAATTTTATCATTGATATGATACTTATGTAAACCAGCGATTCGAACTCATGAAAATATTTTTCGAATTATGTTCTGTCAGCATATTACAACATAATCTGTAACAAATCCGATTATTGAAAGGCTACATATAAAATGAACATAATCCGAATATTTTCTACTTTTGATCTACTTTCAAAGCACTGACTGTTTATCGCATTATGTTAATCTACACATCATTTGCTAAATTATATTCTATAATGTTCTACTAATATTTAAATTGTATATACATATACATGTGTAAATATGCAATTAACAAAGTTAACATAAGAAAAAATGTAATAGGTAACAGTGAATGTGTGTGTGACAAAAATGTCACGTTTGTGTTGCATTTTACATTATTTATCAATATATTATCACACATATTAATTAATAATCAATTGATATAAGTATTTTCTTTCAGACAAAATTTTGGTGAGGTTACAAATATTTTATATATCAATATATACGTAAAACAATGATTTTTGAAATGACGGATTTAACAACTTATCAACATTTAATATGTTCATTAATTGATATGAATTGACATCTTTTCCATTTACTTCCTTTTTTATTTCTTTTTACTGCAAACTCCATAAACTTGTTAATCAGAAAAATCGCGCACACATCACTGTAACATCATTTTATATATGTATAAAACTCGCATAAAAGCGAAAAATATTAATCCATCAAGCGCTGTTTTTATTTATGGATCAAAGGTTTTATCTTTTATATAAGTAATCATTAAAACTAAGACTGGCAATTGATGGGTTAAAGAAACGCTATTCGTCGACATCATTGTATAAGATTGTATCTTTCGATCCTGCTGTTAATCCTGCCACATTTCTTACGCATGACGTTTCATGTTTTTTCCAATGATCACCTCACCTGCAATAAAAACACGAAGATTAAACACATGCCCTTGCGGCAGTAAGAATAGCAATATACTACTTTTGTATTGTATGACTTCCAAGATTACTTCCGGAGCATGCTTTTTTTTTAAATCGAGTTATTAGGTAAAGGATACAAGCGTGGATTCATCTACGTGCCTGTTTAACTGTGGATAAAAAATATATTTTTTATTAATTTCTTGCAATTTTTTTGCTATTTTTGTCGGGATGTTCTGTATAAATTTTAATTTCAACTATGCGCATGTTTTCTTTCTGATACAGCCATTTTTAGCATGATGAATCATTTTTTTTTAATGCATGCCATTTCTGAATTCATACAAACTGTTCAAAATAACGTGTGTTATAATATTAAAATCTAAAACTACACTAACGATCAGAAATCGAACAAAAAAATCCTTTGGAAAATATAACTGTCTTCCGCTTATATAGAATACTATAACAATGCGTTACAATACAAATTGTTTTTAGAACACATTTCATAGATACGTTCTTTTTTTTAAATAATTGTTAGACATGTAATTATGGTATACAAAATAATCAATCTTTATTGAATATATATTTTTTGTTTTGAGCGCCACGTGCATAGATTTTTCCTTTTAATGTAAAAGGAAATGAATAATCGATATTCATCGATAACTGATTCCATTGTTTCTTTATACCGTGTGTTCCATGAAACGCAGACGGATATGGATATGGCAGTGGTAATTACGACGGTGGCTACAGTGGCGGGCGCGGTGGCGCACGCGGTAAAGGTACGCATTGTAGCGTCCTTTCCTTTATATTTATATATTCCCCATCCATATCGTTGTATATTTTAAGTGGCATACATTTCGATTGAATTATCGCCTGCGTCTATTTTCTCATGCAGTAACTACATTCATCTGTCCTTCCTTATTCGAAACTGAGTTTCATTCTCTTCATTTCTGTTTATTCCTCTATCCTTTACTTAAATTCCTATTTTTTTTCTATCTTTGTAACTATTTGTTCAACAAATGGAAAATGTGTTTGTATGTAACGTATATGTATATGTGTGTATGTGTGAAAAAAATGAACGAATGCAATAGGAGAGAGAAGTTAACATTTTCGGGATAATTTATATCGATTGCATGCATTAAAAAAGACAATCGAATTATGTCTAAATACATATGTATACCGTGGAAGCAAATTGTAACATAGTTATGTATTATTTATTATTACGTTATGTAAATTATCTGCGATTATCGAGTTTTATCATTTATTTTACAACTGACTTATAATTAGTGCTCGGAAACATCAGACGATTTGACAGTTCGAATCTTAAGTTCGAACGTTAAATAGTTCGGACTAAATGTATGTTCGAACTATTTTAATCCACTTCAAGGTAGCGATCATGTAATTTTTTCGTTAGAGCGGAAACGTGAAAAGTGAAAATTTTTATGTATGTATGTTCGTACATATATACACGTACATACAACAAATTTTCACTTTTCACGTTTCCACCCTAAGGAAAAAGTTAAATGATCGCTACCCAAAGCTGAAAGTTCGAAATTATTACATTTTGAACTCAGATATCCTCAGTCGTCCTCAGGATCATCCTGAATATGTCCAGGATGGCTCAAGATATTTGTAGGACATCAATAAATATTTTATTTAACTGCTCTTTTGTTTCTAAGGCATACTATATTTGTTTACTGTTCGAACCGTCCGAACTTCAGACATAACGAATTGACATTTCATACTGATCACTGCTTAAGCTCGAACTGTCCGAATTGTCCAAAATATTCGAATTAGATGCTCATTTTTTTTAAACTTCGAACTATTCGAATAGATTGAATATACAACATGTTCGAATATTTTATCTGAGCCCTACTTATAATGTCTATAAGTCAGTGAACTTTAAAAATAATATTATCACTATCATTACGTAACTCGGTTGTTTTATGAAGTATACACTTTGATTAACTTTGATTATCCTTAAAAACTTCTCCTTTTACATGGAGATACAGCGGGTTTTTTTTTATATACTGCTTTTTATATACTGTTTTTTTCATAAATGTAATAGAACCGTTTAACAATCGCATCCAGTGGAACGTTATCCTATATTTAGCTGTTGCTTGAGATATGGAGGAAGGGGAAAGTATAAATTATACAGCCTGCAGCTTACTACCTTAGCCTGTAGCCTCTACATAGATAATACTACAGTTTTCTCTCTTACATTTATATTTATCTATCTGTTACTTTCTAAATAAGCATTTGTGCGATTTGACAGTTTCTTTTGGTAGTTTATGTACAGTTTCTATACATAAGTTTATGCTTAATCTTGTAAAGATAAACGAGTGATGTATGCAGCTGGGACGATTAAACTAATAAAGTGCCATGTGGGTATATGTTCCAGGAGGTTCAGGCTACGGTGGCAAGCAAAGGGGTGCTCGTCAGAACCAGAGGCACCAACCCTATTAATAAAGGAATCCTTATTTATGACCGCAATGCAATTCGCATTGTAACTGCCGGTGAGTCACTGTCCAATCTCCTAATGCTCTTACATCCACCTCTGCACTAAATTACCCAAAGATTTTAGTGTGCACAAATAACTAACTTTGTATTTAAAAAAAATTATGCACAGATTCTTATAAATTATGTATTCTTTATAAGAATCTAAAATAGTGATTTTAAACAAAATAAAATAGTTACAAAAAATGAAATATGCATTCCAATTTTTTTATCTTTAAAAATCTGTTTACACAGAACAGTTATTTATACTTAATTAGGAATAAAGTTTCTTAAATTTCTAAATAAAACCAAAGCTATCGTATTTTTCTTGTAATTCTTAATTCGAGATAGCTTTTTATCTAGAATTATTCTAAGTTTTGCATATTTCACGTTGCTGCTTTTTAATGCCAACTTTTGTTTTAACCATTCCATTTCTATTTCTGTTTCAAATAAATGTTTCATTTGCTATGCTTCCGTCCATGTTTAATTTACTATACTTCATTAATTTTAACAAATTGATTTGTACAATATATAGCACATAAATGTAATATGAGTAATTAAAAGATTAATACATTCCTTTCCTTTTCAGGTATCGCAAGCCGCGGTTTCCGTTTACAATCACATTACAACTCGTCCAATCATTCCATTCAATATGTATCAACATCGGCCAATAGTCAAAAAAACAAGATTCGAACTGCATGAAATTTTACAGAAACCGTTCCAATAATATTTTGTTGATTTTGTTTTTGTATATACATATACGCGCTTGCTTTTTTCAACTTATAAAACATTTGCGTGCACGTGCGCACGCATTGTGTATATCGTGAATGAATACCTATAATAGTAGATATTATTTTAATTTTTTCTACAAAACGACACGGCAAAACAATGATGAACCATCATAGATGAGTAAGCACGCAATATGTTTTCTACATGTCATGCGAAAAATCGATTTGAAAACCGGATAAATCGTGCTGTTTATAACGACCGTGTGAAATAATATAAAAGGATTACTTCTTCCTTATTAGTAAGATATAATAATAGGATTAAATAAATTCGTTTTGTGTACATAATATATATCTCATACATACAATTGTAGTTTTGTTCTGACCTCCTATATGGCAACTTAATATTTTTTTTCTTTTTAATACACGACATGTACACAAGATTTATGTCTGAAACGTAGAGATCATTTATACACATAGATTTAATAAAAGACTGACACACGCATAAAACGGAATTTATCAGATTTATTAATAGAACTTATGCTCTACACACACCGATTCCGTCATAGCATCGTAGCACACGCGTGTGTAAGCTTAATATTCAAACTGATGGTATACTACACACTGGCGTGTTACGACAGGATTCTGGCTCGATCATAGAGAACAGCGCATGTACATTATATTTATATACAAACAAGTTCATTCTAATATGAGAAGATTGTCACAATAAAATTTTTTAAGTACACATCAGACGATATTGTATTGAAGATACAATGTTGGGATTATGTATTTTTGTCCAAGTACATACTGTTCTGATTTTATGTCTCACAAAAGTATTACGTTATATAAATTTGAAGGGATGGTCTTATGTTAGTGGTTTATTTAAAATAAATTATGTTTATATATATACCAATTCGTGTTCTTTAATGTAACCATTAATAACCATCTACCAAATCCTGCAATTTTTTTAATTTTTTTCCAAACTTTTAATATTTAATTCTTATAAGAATTTATGTAGTTTGAAAAAATTGCTGTACATTTTCTTTGAAGATAATGTGACTACAGTTAAAAATAATAAAAAATTATAATTTGAACGTAATATGTAAACTAAAATTTTTATTGAGTATTCATATTTTTCTCGCCTTTCATTCATGAACTGAATATCTTAGAAACATTTTTGAATAATACTTTGACACGGATGACAAAATTCAATTAATGTATTAATTATCAATCGCTGATGATAGATATTCTATTTTATCTTTGATAGACGGAAATAACTTGTTCCTCAAAATTGTTTTTATTTTTCAAATAAATTTTTTAAGAGGAAAAAGAGTTTTAAATTACAAGATCAAAAATTTCAATAGTTTTATACTTTTTTTAAGTAGTTCTAATTTCCATTTGTCAAAATATACATTCGATCCACGAAAGCGGAGGCAAATAAGTGATCGAAACACGAGAAGGCGTCATCGAGATCGCTATCTTGGAGATTAACGAGCCGAAGCTACAAGCTCTCTAATTAGTAGTACTACTAATCCCATCCAGCTAAGATTAGTCCGTTCTCCCACTTAACGTGTTCTCGCGTTAATGACAATTGCATCTTAACTAAATTCATTTAACCGATTGAGCTGTTAGATTAGGCGCACTATAATTTTGCTACCTTCTTTCAATAACATTAAAACTTTCTATCATTTTATTATTTTTTTTTTGCGAGAATGCAATACGAATTCTAAATATATGGATTCAAAACTAAACAATATTTCTCAGTTTCAATTACAAACCAGCGTATTGGATTTTTGCATTTTCATCTAAATCGTTTCAGAGAAGTCGTAAAAAACAGCATCGTAAATTTTTATAACTAAATACCACTAGAATTTCATTTTGATCATTCAAGGGAGATATTTTCCGAGTCCAGTGAGAAATAAAGTTTCGTTAGTTCAAACCAAGAAAGTTTGTCACTAGCAATATATCTTCTTTTACTTGATAATATTTTTGAAGCTTTTACGAGTTTTTTTCTTTGGCACCACTTTTTTTTATCTTATACTTATCATTAATTCAGATTCTATAATTCCGACACTTGAATGTTTTAAAGATAAAGAGAGTTAGATCTTCATTTAAATCCATGTTTTGTTGATTCTTCACATCTCAACTCTTTGCAGGATGAGATCTCTTACTATAATAATAGAAAATATCATTATTCTGTTAATAAACGGAACTATTTGCTATTGATTCAACGTATGTTGTAAAGGAGAAGTATCATGCTAGATTCGCGAAGTTAACACCATATTTTCAATTTTGGTTGTTTATAATATAAAAAATGCAGAACTCTTATTTTACTATTATAAGGAACTGTGTAGAACTGCGAAAAATGCTACTAGAACTGTTATTGTTTTTATATGAATTGAATGTCGTGCTGACTTTACAAATTCGACTTTTAGGTATCTATTTTTCAATTATTTATAAATATTAAAAAAGAGTTCCGTATGTTTTATCATAAAACTAAAAAATCAAAATTAAAAAAATTGCAGAACTCTGTTTAAAAATAATTATAAAGTATAGAGATCTATAGGTAATTGTAAAGTATAGATCTCTGCTAGTACTAATAAGAAATGTTGCTAGCGATAAATTACTTTTTGGAAATTAAATTAGAATATTCAAAACGCGATTTATAAATTCTGAGATAATTGCATACGACACGTAGAAGCCAATAAGTCAGTTATAACACTGGTGAAAATTTTTCTCCGAATTTTTCATATGATTTTTCAGAATTTCTATGTAATTTTATAACTTTTTCACATTTTTTATACGAATTGAAACACTTTTTAGAAAATCTACATCTTTTTCTCAGAATTTTCCATATATATTAATTATGAAATATCGTAAGATTTCTAAGTTTTTGTAAGTATAATTTCTGATAAAAATGTTATAAAATCTAAAACATTAAAAATATTTTTTTTAAATTATGGGATGAGAAATCTCAGAATATTTCAGAATTCACTTGTACGAAAAATTATAAGATGTAAACTTTCCGAATATTTCTGAGTATTTCTGAAAATGTTCCAATTCGTATAAAAATCATAAGAAAAATTTTCACCAGAGAATACTAACATACAAAGTTGTTTATATCTTAGAAACTTTCGACCTATGTTCATTAAGGTTTTTTTTACTCAACATAATATGTATCAATATGTACTATCTTCCATTCAAATGTTGAATAATTTTTTCAACCAGTATATAAATATATGTATATACATATGCGTGTATTTAGTACAAGGAACCATTAATTTAACTATCATTTTTTTATCAAGTAAATATTTATTTACTGTAAATGTTGACATTATTGGAAAAAATATTAAGATTTAGTAAATATTTTTCTCAGTGTATATATTTTATATAAAGTGCGCTTCCCCAGACAGCACAGAATATTTATGCTAAATATTTATTAAAAAATTCATTTTTTTAAACGTTATATAAATATTTCATATTTTATATAAAGCTTTATTCGAAATATTATTAAAATGTAGACTCTCTCTAAATATTTTATGTAATATTTATGAATATAAATAAATATTTCTAATAAGTATTTTTTACTTGGATTATAATGTCTCATTAAGTATTTTCATAGCATTTACTATAACATTTACAATAAATATTTTATAATGTTTATAATAAACGTTTATAATCTAAGATCTTTTGTAATCTAAGAGAGAAGAGAGAGAGAGAGAGAGAGAGATCACAAAAATATTTAAAATAAATCTTATAAATATTTATAAATATTTTGTAAATATTTTATAAATATTGTGTGCTGTCTGGGTTCCGGCGCAAAAACACGTATAATTTGTCTTGACATCTACACGTGCTAAGTAATGCTGTTGATCCGAAATAGATTTTCGACATATTATCGCGTCACCTATTGACATCGAATCCAATTTGAGTCCACGTTGATTTCCATCAGTCCGGATCCCTCAGGTTTCACACTATGTTCGTGCAAGATTTCGTACTCGGTCCGACAGGTCAATAGTAACTTCCGGCCACCATCCGGTGATGCGATAGCCGAGTTTTGCAGCAATCTCCGGCTGCGGTACGACCGCTTCGCACTTTGTGGCGAAGCCACCCCATCAAATATCGAATGTCATCCGCAGAGTCCGTCACGTAGGGGTGAAAACGCAATTAATCTTTGGTAACGAAGTACGTAACTCTTAGTGGACTCTTAATTCTTCGATTCCATTACAACTTCAGCTTATAAATGATACCCATTAAATTTTTATAACTATTTCCAACGTTTCCATGTAAAAAGTCTCTTGATTACTTGAGAATTAAAAGAAAGTATATAAATATATCTATTAAAAAAATAGTTCTATAACTTCATAAAATAAGTAATTCATAGAGAGCTTATAATTATTATTATATATATATATTCTTGTAATTTTTCATATTAAAACAATTCGTAAATTTTTACAACTGTACTCAACCATTTATGTTTTAAAGAGTTAATCCTACATGTATATATATAGATTTTTGCCGTGTACTACTAGATTTTAAGAAAATTATTGTATTATCCCGGGAAAAAAAGTTT